TACAACTTCCAGTATGCACACAGACAGTTCGAAATGCACTAAGGAGGGCAGGCCTTCGAGCCATAGTCAAAGTCAAGCGTCCCCTCCTCGCACGTAGACACCGTCGTGCTCGGCTTACCTTTGCCCTCCGCCATCAGCATTGGACTGTAGAAGACTGGTCACGCGTCATTTTCTCAGATGAAACCAAGATAAATAGAATGGGATCTGATGGGCGTGTGTGGGGTTGGAAGCGGCCAGGTTCCCAGCTTGAGGACCGTAATGTCGTTGGAACCGTCAAGTTTGGGGGTGGGAGTGTTATGCTCTGGGGGTGCATGACCATCTCTGGACCTGGTCATATGGCTCAGGTTGATGGTCGTATGGACGCAAAGCAGTACACCGATATCCTCAGCCAGAATCTCCTTCAGAGTGCCAAGGCTACCGGCTTCCAGGGCACTGACTTCACATTTCAGCAAGACAACGACCCAAAACACACCTCAAGACTCGCCAAGAAGTGGTTTTCAGATCATTCTGTCGAGGTTTTACGCTGGCCAGCCCAGTCCCCAGACCTCAATCCAATAGAACACCTCTGGGGGCATCTCAAGCGCAGGCTCAATGGTTATTCAACCGACCCGAAAAGCATTGGTGAGCTTTGGGGTCGTATTCAACAGGAATGGATCGAAATTCCACCAGACTACTGCTACGACCTCATAGCAAGCATGCCGAGCCGCATTCAGGCTGTACTTCAAGCACAAGGTGGTCATACACGCTATTAGCATAATAAATGTACCAATGACATGTCTCCCTCATCCCCCAGTTATCTTAGCTCCCGTGATTACTGCACCTCCATGCCTTACAGTGTAAATAATTGATATGTTTTCCTATCTAAATACGATTTATTTTGTTGCCCCCTATGTACATACAGTCTATGAAAGTGGTTCTAAGTCTACAGGCACGATCATTGGGACACTTATTTGGCCCACTGTACGATCACAAACCCACTTGAACTTGTAGCGGCAGGAGTAGAGGTGATGGCTTGACGATGACCTTGGACGGTCCTCGTGACCTCGGTTTCGAGTGGTGCTATTTGGACTCCCTCTCGCAATCCTACAATTTCTGTTGAAGGAGACGCCTCGGGAGTGATCGAAGCTCCAGCCAGTATGAAGTTGCTGCCATCAACCGAATCGCCGGTAGGCGAGCTATCAGATCCTCCTAGGTCTGTGTCTATTCTCTCCAGCATCTCTTCCCCGTCGTCGGCATTAGGACCGGGGTCAGCTATATGTGCAGCACCATCCGCTACGTCTGCAATATTAGTCTGACTTGCTTCGGGTGGCTCGGGAGAAGAGCCGCTAATCTGTACAGATTTGAGTACTTGCATATTATAAAAGCATAGACACTTACCGTAAACTGGGGG